ACCTGACATAATAAATAAAATACGTCATTTTTTCGTTACTTACTGTGTTATACTACAGTTATACTAAAGTTATACGACAGTTATACTTCAGCTATTCTACAGTTATACTACAGTTATACTACAGTATACTACAGTTATAAGACAGTTATGTTACATTTATACTACATTTATACTACAGTTATACTTCTAAGCCAGAATCTTCCCACTAAACTCCTACTATTTCTATTTCATTCAACTACACCCCCCTCCCCCCAAGCCAAAATGTTCGCATTAATTTCCTATCATTTCTATTAAACTACTGCCCCCCCCCAACTTCTCCCCTGCCCACAAAGCTGCTGCTACCTGATAACACTAAACGTCTATTAATTTTATATTTCTATTTCATTCAACTACACCCCCCTCCCCCTAAGCCAAAATGTTCGCATTAATTTCCTATCATTTCTATTAAACTACTGCCCCCCCCCAACTTCTCCCCTGCCCACAAAGCTGCTGCTACCTGATAACACTAAACGTCTATTAATTTTATAACATCATTCCTCCCCCCCCCCACACACACACACGCACACTTTTAACACTAATCCTATTTTAACCTCGACCTTTCAGACCCTCTTCGCTACTTCACCGAATTTAACCGAAGCTGTGCATATAGCATTTCTATCATGTATATTTTGCGGTCATTTAATCATCACTTTATTTTCACGGCTGAATATTTGTACTATTTTGATTATCTTTTAATCGTAAACTTTCTTTTTGTAAAATTTGACATGAATTCATAATATCATTTTTTTTTTAGTGTTCTCTTGCCTTCTAAAGCAGAAATAACAATATTATTTTATGGTTTAAATGAGGCAAAGTGTGAGAACCGCTGTTTGCGTTTAGGCGTTTTCCCAATAATTCAGGGTGTTTAGGTCAACGTGACATCAAAACTGGCGTTTGTCCCTCTTCTGGTCACGCTGAGATGCAAATGTCGAGGCACAGCAGGTGTTGTCGGTGTTGTTTTTTGTAATGGGCGGGGGTGGGGGGGGGTGGGTGATGTTACATGTGTAAAACTCCTGAACATGTCTTTATTTATCTGGTAGAGATGACAGATGGAATTCAAACTCAACAAAGACAACGGTCCAACATTATGTTTGTCCAACATTATGTTTGTCCAACATTATGTTTGTCCAACATTATGTTTGTCCAACATTATGTTTGTCCAACATTATGTTTGTCCAACATTATGTTTGTCCAACATTATGTTTGTCCAAAATTATGTTTGTCCAACATTATGTTTGTCCAACATTATGTTTGTCCAACATTATGTTTGTCCAACATTATGTTTGTCCAACATTATGTTTGTCCAACATTATGTTTGTCCAACATTATGTTTTTGTCGGTTTTACGAGAGTAAGAAAACAAAATAAATATAGGGGGGGGGACATGGTAGAGGGCATGTGTTCACAGATAAGAAAAAAGTAATGTTGCCGTTAACTAGGTGTTGTAAACTAGATTTTGGAGCATGAATGTTTGGCATGGAAAAGGTGTTTGGTGTCGAGTGTTAATGTGCAACTGTATCTGTATGCTGGGATTTTGTGACGTATTTGGGTAAGGGGGAAATGACATGTTAGATGGTGTTATGTTACGTTTTTTTTTTTTTGTTTTTTAATTTCAACAACAAATGATCATCTCTACGAAATATCTGTTTGAAGGAGAATATTAGTTCAATATAATAAGCTGCACATAAGATAGAAAGCTAAGCAAGTAAAGCTTGGCCCCCGCTTTCAACATTAACCGTGGACATAAATTTTAAGGCCTGCAACAAGAGAGTAAGAGTGGAGAATGGTCTAAACTGCGCAAATATCAAGTTCACGGTCTGGAGTTCCATTCCAGTTAAAGCCCAGTCAAGCGACGCCTGGTGGGTTTTTTTTGTATCTACGTTTTTGTTCCAAACAGAAACTGTTCTTGCATCATTGGGTGTGGCATCAGTGGGTGTGGCCAGGTGGATCTCAATCTGTATCATGAAAAGTAAACTTAAACTGTTTGCCTCTCTTTGCGTAAGTTCCAGACATTCGACGCAAAGTATGTAATTTGACATGGCGTGATACAATGGCGAAGTAGGTAAGTTGGCATAGCATGATACAATGGCGAAGTAGGTAAGTTGGCATAGCATGATACTATGGCAAAGTAGGTAAGTTGGCATAGCATGATACTATGGCGAAGTAGGTATGTTGGCATAGCATGATACAATGGCGAAGTAGGTAAGTTGGCATAGCATGATACTATGACGAAGTAGGTATTTGACATGGCACGATACAATGGTGAAGTAGGTAAGTTGGCATAACATGATACTATGAAGAAGTAGGTATTTGACATGGCACGATACAATGGCGAAGTAGGTAAGTTGGCATAGCATGATACTATGAAGAAGTAGGTATTTGACATGGCACGATACAATGGCGAAGTAGGTAAGTTGGCATAACATGATACTATGAAGAAGTAGGTATTTGACATGGCACGATACAATGGCGAAGTAGGTAAGTTGGCATATCATGATACTATGGTGAAGTAGGTAAGTTGGCATATCATGATACTATGGCGAAGTAGGTAAGTTGGCATAGCATGATACAATGGCGAAGTAGGTAAGTTGGCATAGCATGATACTATGGCGAAGAAGGTAAGTTGGCATAACATGATACTATGAAGAAGTAGGTAAGTTGGCATTGCATGATACTATGGCGAAGAAGGTAAGTTGGCATAGCATGATACTATGAAGAAGTAGGTATTTGACATGGCACGATACAATGGCGAAGTAGGTAAGTTGGCATAGCATGATACTATGAAGAAGTAGTTATTTGACATGGCACGATACAATGGCGAAGTAGGTAAGTTGGCATAACATGATACTATGAAGAAGTAGGTATTTGACATGGCACGATACAATGGCGAAGTAGGTAAGTTGGCATAACATGATACTATGAAGAAGTAGGTATTTGACATGGCACGATACAATGGCGAAGTAGGTAAGTTGGCATATCATGATACTATGGCGAAGTAGGTAAGTTGGCATATCATGATACTATGGCGAAGTAGGTAAGTTGGCATAGCATGATACAATGGCGAAGTAGGTAAGTTGGCATAGCATGATACTATGACGAAGTATGTAAGTTGGCATAGCATGATACAATGGCGAAGTAGGTAAGTTGGCATAACATGATACAATGGCAAAGTAGGTAAGTTGACATAGCATGATACTATGACGAAGTATGTAAGTTGACATAGCATGATAAAATGGTGAAGTATGTAAGTTGACATAGCATGATACTATGACGAAGTATGTAAGTTGACACATCATGATACAATGGCACAGTAGGTAAGTTGACATAACAATGATGCTATGGCGAAGTATGTAAGTTGACATAGCATGATACAATGACGAAGTATGTAAGTTGACATAGCTTGATACACTGGCGAAGTATGTAAGTTGACATAGCTTGATACACTGGCGAAGTATGTAAGTTGACATAGCTTGATACACTGGCGAAGTATGTAAGTTGACATAGCTTGATTCACTGGTGAAGTATGTAAGTTGACATAGCTTGATACACTGGCGAAGTATGTAAGTTGACATAGCATGATACAATGGCAAATTATGTAAGTTGACATAGCATTATACAATGGCGAAGTATGTAAATTGACATAGCATGATACAATGGCAAATTATGTAAGTGGACATAGCATTATACAATGGCGAAGTATGTAAATTGACATAGCATGATAATATGACGAAGTAGGTAAGTTGACATGGCATGATACTATGACGAAGTATGTAAGTTGGCATAGCATGATACTATGGCACAGTAGGTAATTTGACATAGCATGATACTATGACGAAGTATGTAAGTTGGGATATTATCATGAAACTATGACAAAGTAGGTAAGTTTGCGTAGCATGATATTTTGACGACGTATGTAAGTTGGCATAGCATAAAACTCTGACGAAGTAGGTAAGTTTGCATAGCATGATACTATGACGAAAAGAATGAAAATATATAATGTAATGTTGCTGGATTTTTTTAAATTGGAGGATGATGTAAAGCTATCCATGCAGTTTAAAATCCATCATTAATAAGTACAGAGACGTCAGGAGCCAAAATATGATTGAAATAATCAACCTTAACTGGCCCTAAAGACAATATTTCTTTCATGTCTATAAATGATGCTTAGTAGAGGGGTAAACTTTTTTGTTTATATTCTTACCAAATTTTCGTGTAAAATATTTTTTTTAATATAAAAAAGCATAATTATGCTTCCGAATCTCTTGTCCACCCCTTCCCAAATGGACATGAGAATATCAGTACGCCTAATAAAATTTCAATTGACACAAATAATACATGGTATAGAAATATACAATCACAGCGTCAATATATCAATGTACTACATTAAAGAGATAGATGTTTTAATAATTAAGCTATAGCCTTATTTGATTTTTTTTTAATTTAAATACTATTTCAACGAGGAGATTTGAATAATTTACAGACATTTGTTCTAAATACAGAAACATTTGCAAAGTATAGGAAAAAATTAAGCAGGTGACCAGATTCTGCAAGAATAAACAAAATGACCTCTATGAATTCAAGCATTGGGTCCAAACTTAAATTAAATAATGGCCTAATTACCAAAGAAAAAACACAGAATGGCAAGTTGACAGAAACATACAACAAGACCGATGTTGTCATTAGTAAACTCAGTGTCTTTTCAATACTGTTCACGTTGCCAAGAAAAGTTTGACTTCGCCCTTTGGCTGAGTTATTTATAGCTCGAATACGCCCATCCATGAAAAGTCTCTGACGTCGACCACGAGTCACCAGAAGAACTTTGATAACCGCCATGGTCAGAATTGTTATGATCACCAGAGGAATCGTTATAGAAATTATAGTTTGAACCATAATAAAATAATGATGCTCTAGATACAACAAAAGGCAAAAACCATCGGAGTCGAAATCCACGAAAATTAAGTACAAAGACGTGTAAAACATTGAAGAAACGGCGGACATCGAAGACACGGCTACCTTGCAGCGTTTGTTGGTGATCCAACCGCTTCTTCTCAACGGCTTGCAGACTGAAACGTAGCGTTCCGCGCAGATGAACACAACAGTCCAATGCGCAATTGCTGTGAGCGTTGCACTGGGCAAGTGAACCACTTTGCAGCCGAACCGGCCAAGATGCAACCCACGGGCAAACACATTCAATTCAATGAGTTTAACCACAAGAGCGACACTGTCAATGATGGCCAGGTAGCACAGCAAAAATGATGCCGGGCCGCCGGATTGAAATTTTGAAATGGTGACGACGGTCAGGATATTCACAGGCAGTCCAACGGCAACAAACACCCACATGTAGATTTTGTAGGCTGACGCTATCCAAGTGTAGACCTCGTCGGTGACGGTGTAGCTACTGCTGTGAAGATGTTAATGGAAAAATTATTATTGCTGTATTATCAGAAACATTGTTTAACCAACAACACGTAACAGAATGAGATCAGTGTCAGTAAGACAGACATACACACTCACGCCCATAAGCAGACGTCAACACAATGATGCGTAGTGATAAGATTCCTACTCTCTGATGAAAAAAAATAAGATGATCTTTTTTTTTTATCATATATGGGTCAACGAATTGTTCTGAGTAAACGCAGTTTAGTGTCCATCAAAAGACGGCCATCTTAATTCAATGACACGTTGTAGAAGTGGCTTCTCGTTTCCATGAACGGAATCCCCGGTTGATGTAAAGTCGTCTCTACGTCGTCAATCCATCTTACTCTTGGTCGACCAGTGAGCACCTTGGTCTCTGTTTGTTAACAAAATTTGTTTTTTCTATAATCTTAAAACTTTCATGATTCTGGATTTTTCCGAATCTCCATCCATCATTTCCTTTACATGCCCGTTAAATTTGTATGTACTAACTTATTTAATTTGTAAGTTTCTTCTCTCCGTCGTGTGACAAAGTCAATGTGGCTCGTTAGATCAAAAAAATACGTAACAAAGAACTAAAACACATTATAAATAGTCTGGTAAGACTCGTAAGTCTGTCGGTCACAGTTGACCATCATATTACCAGGAAGGAAGCTAGAACCCTCCAGAACAGAAAATCTAGAAATGAAAACTTCAGAGATTACTTCTGTCTCTATTTAGTATAATGTAGACCCTTCTGGAAACGTTTAAAAAAAGGCGTGGCAGAGTTAATTGTTGAAGTCAAAAACAGTGGGGGGGGGGGGGTAGGAAAACTATGTCAACACACAGAATGTAACATGTAAGGATCCGTGTATCACTTAAATACATCACTATTGGCCTTATAGTAGAGAATTTGTACTATCTTCTTTGTTTCCCTTGTCATGTTTCTGCTGCCGGAGTAGACCGGAGTATGATCGACTGCCTATGTGGTCGTTGCATTCACGCTCGTGATTATTTTTTTTTTATTTGTAGCTCTTTTGTGATAGGTCCCATGTATAAACGTGTGCATGGGGTCAAAGATGCTGGGTCAAAGATGCTGGGTCAAAGATGCTGTTCTTTATCTTGATGTTACTACGTTTACGTTCTTTCTACGTGAGGTTGTCACGACACTGGGTCTTCTTCTTCTTCTTCTTCTTCTTCTTCTTCTTCTTCTTCTATATCTTAAGGGCCCACGATCAATTTATTGATCATTTTGGCTCCTATGCATGTAGATGGGATTTGCAATGTTTCTGTTACTGGTGGTGATGAGGAAATTATGCACTAGGGGTTTGAAGGCTTGAGGCAATAGACACAAATGTCTGCATTCACGTGAGATCCAGCCTTCACCAAGGAAGTTTAATGTTCACAATCTGCTCTAATGATTGACTTGATAGCTCTGCACCTAAAATCTACATCGTTTGCTTGTGCCAGGCACTGAATGGTTTGTTATATGATTTTCCTGTTGGTTGTGGTTCTTTAAGTCTTCTCATCGAAAATTTTGAGATAGTTCCAAGGATTCTCAAATGTATATTTTTTAAACTAAATAAACGTGATGTTTCTCCGGAGATCTTGTGAGAGTCCCTGACTAAAGTGGAACTCCTCTAGCACTCTTTCCGGACTTTGATTCTACTTTTAGATATATATGCATATGCATAATTTATTTCTAAAAAAAATGACTTCACTTCATCTTACAGTAGCATATTCTGCACTCTTTTGTAACAAGCTAGTGGAATATTCAAAGTATTCAAAATGACACATCGAGATTTGCAACAAAATGTCAATTTTATTTTCTAATCATTGAAGATTTGATGCTTGAAACTAAACCTCTTTTTTGTTTTCCTTATAGAAAAGTTACATTTCTAAGAAAGAAAGAAATTATTTTAATTTTTTTGTTTGTTTTTTGTTTTGTTTTTGGTTTGTGGTTTTTCATTGCTTTTGTCCCATAAAGAAATAAATGTACCTTTTGATGGAAACACTCCAATCATCGCTCGTTGTAGAAAACATATTGTCAACGCTCCAATTAGTTGTCATACCTTTACTTGATTTCATCTCTCTAATGAATTAAACATAAAATTAGTATGAATTAAATAAACCACTTTAGTTATTTCTGACAGATATTCTTTTTTTTTTTAATACTTCGTGCTCTTAAGTCTAACAAGGTTTTTTTAAAAGGTATTTTATCTTACAATTACTGGAGTCTCGTTTTTCTTAAACAAGTCTTCAACTACGCACTCAGGCATGTGATTGATTTTACTTATGGAGAGTGATCAATTCCTCACACAACACCCTGGGGTATGGATTATGATCAAATTTTCACACGACACCCAGGGGAATGGAATTTAAAAAATTAATTAATATATATTATCTTTATATCTTAACAGTTTTCTTTCCAGAGAAAGTGTTAAAATATACATTTTCTTCAAGTAGGAAATAAGATTATAACATTAAAAAAATAAGTAAACATGCAAGTAATTGGGCTGATAAATTACCTCTATCTTGAATTTGCTAGCGTGTTTTTCTTTCCTAAAAAAAAAAAAAAAAAAAAAAAAAAAAAACGGTGACCAACACTAAGTGATCAATGATCACTTCATTATTGTCACTGTAGGACTTTGCTTATGGCTGATTTCTACGCTAGAGAAACACTTTCGATGTCTCTTGTTTAAATTGTTACAATTTGTAAAATGCTGTTTTGTTTAAAAATATTTATTTATTTGTGTGCTGAAAAAGAATATGAACGATGTAATAAATAAAGATTCCATTTATTTGGATCAATAAAAGGAATATTATCTTACATTTCTAGTATAGCCTACATGTAAATATTTCAAACTGTGTAACACAGTCCTTCTTTTATCTCATGTGTATAATATTACATATACTTAAACGCATTTATTTGAAAACAATCAATAATTGGTTGTGTTTATCCAAGCTATAAGAATAAACACAAACTCTAAGCTTGCCAAAGAAGACTGAGCTCACTACGACAGCTGTGTGACAATGTCACGTAGCAAGTGCGGGATAATTTTAAAAAAAAAAAGAAAAAAAAAAAAAAAAATCTGGCTATTAGCCACACAACTTCGGTACAGAGAGAATTCCACCAGGGCTTCTCAACCTGAATCCCGCTCCATTTTTTATTTTTAAAAACATTTTCATGGATATACCGGTCACAAAATATTTTTTTTTTAATTTAAAATTAAAATAAAGTGACTTTGTAGCTAGATATTATGCTGATAAATATTGTGAGAAGAGAAGGGCAAACGATGCAAAGATTTTCCTACAGACGGTCACTTGTGACTTTTGTTTCAAAAGCTTAACATAAGCTAGTCATCATCTATTACTAGAGCTGAGAAGGAGAAATGAAATAACTAGAAGCAAATAAGAAAACTGTTACATTTATTTACCAAGGGACTATACAAATTAAGCACTAAACTAATTCATTTTATTTTATTTTAGTTGATTTTTCCCCCATGGATTTCCTGGGAGGATGTGATTAGAGGCACTGGGAGGCTATGGTTAGAGGCTCTGGGGGCTGTGATTAGAGGCACTGGGAGGCTGTGATTAGAGGCACTGGGAGGTTGGGATTAGAGGCTCTGTGAGGCTGTGACTGGAGTTACTCGGAGGCTGTGACCAGAGGCAGTGGGAGGCTGTGATTAGAGGCACTGGGAGGTTGGGATTAGAGGCTCTGTGAGGCTGTGACTGGAGTTACTCGGAGGCTGTGACCAGAGGCAGTGGGAGGCTGTGACGAGATCTACTGGTAGTCAAATTTTTACTTTTCATTCGCTTCAACTGCCTAGCACACTGGTTCTCAGCCTATCTAATTTTGTGTCCCCTTTTTACTGCTCCTCATGTTGTGGCGACCCCCAACTACATACTTATTTTCGTTTCTACTTCATAACTGTAATTTTGCTTTTTTTGTGAATCGTAATGTAAATATCTGATATGCAGGATATATTTTAATTGTTACAAATTGAACATAATTAAACCATGGTGATTAATCACAAAAAACAATGGGTAATTATATTTTGTGAAATATTTATTCATAATTACAATTAAATGAATTTTTGTCTTGAAGCATGGCGTAGTATGGGTAATAGTCTTAATATAACAACAGTACACTACATTGCTACATTTTGCGACAGTATGCGTAAAAAACCGACGTCAGTGCGAAGGTTGAGATTGCTTCTTTTTTTACCAGATCAGAAATGCTCGGGGCAGTCTTTGCAACAGCGCAGCGAAGATCATCTTCCACAACAAGTCTACTTCTGTATTTAGACTTGATTACCATGTCATCTATTCTTCTGCGGGCAGTGTTGTTAGATAAGGAAATTTCACTGTGGGTCGTGCCCCACAGGTTGAGAACCGCTGTCCTAGCACACTAAAATGTTGCCAAGTGTCAACTGCTAAAATAGAAATGTGAACACGCGAGCGCTTTCGGTTTGTTGTCTCCCCTCTTATTTATAGTCTCCTTATAGTCTTCTTATAGTCGTCTTCTTACAAATTATTGTGCATGATAATCATTCTGATTGAATCTTCCATTAGCACCACGCCAGCACAAATCCCTTATTTTTTGGTGCTACTCGCAAGTTTATATCTGGTGCGTTTGTAATAGAACTCACAAAGAATGTATCCACTATTAACCTTATCCAGCCGATGACGTGCGACGGCTAAATGGTCTCTGTAATGTTAGGATAATGTCACAGGTCAGGAGCATTGCAGTTTGTATGAATTTTTTATAACTCTCTCTGATTGTTCTGGACAACATGTCGCCTGCTCGGGGAAAAAAACAGTCCCCATTGCTCAAAAGCACACACTAGCAACTATATGTTGAAACTGTTTTCATACGTTTTATACAGACAATGTTTTCATGAAATGATCTGACATATATTCCGGTGTATTCCAATGAATTTAAAGTGTGTGGTGGTGTTGGGTCAAGGCGTTAAGCTCACTCACTTTTAACTTTGTTC